GTTAACAACTATAATCGCTAACAAGAAATCACACAAAAACAACAAACATGTTTGAGATGAGATATCACAATGAAAATAAAAGTTGTTGAAAAATTGTGAAAAATGTATACCTTTAAAGAGGACAGAAAACAGGAGTGGGTGATGTACTACTGTCAAACCACCGCCAATCGTATGAAAATCCCTATTTATTAGAATAATAATTACGAAAGAAGCATCGGTGGTTCAGTCAAAGAATACTCACTAACTATGCACATGGTCTAAGTTCGAATCCCAGTCAACGCATATTATTATATATTATTATTGTTTCCTATAATTCCTAGAGGAACATAGGGCTTCAGCCGTGCGTCTCCATTGCGTTCGGTTCTCTGCTAGAGTCTTCACCTGGCTCCAAGTCTGCCCACACTTTTTCATCTTCTCTTCACATGACCTCCTCCAAGTCACCCTTGCACTGACGACCAACTCGCCGCTTCCCATTCAGTCGGGTTCCACTCGAGCAATGGCTTGTCTAGTGATGTCACTTGATGGTTTCCTCAGAGTATGGCCAATCCATCTCCATTTCTTCCTGCCTATTTGTTTCACAATCGGTTTTTGGTTGGTTCGCTCCCAGAGATCTCTGTTGCTGATCTTTTCTGGCCGGCCATCTGATCTTGAGTAGTATTGAGCGAAGACAACTGTTAATGAAGGTGTGTAGTTTGTTTGAGATGCTCTTTATGACGCGCAGTGCAAGTCTCTGATCCGTATAGTAGCACTGACTGACTTCACGTTGGAGTTGAAAATCCGGATGTTATTTTTGATGCTGAGTGTTGTTGACCTCCACACAGGCTTGAGAGTAGTGAAAGCTAGTCTTGCTTTCCCGATTCTTGCTTTGATATCCTCGTCAGTTCCGCCTGTAGTTGAGACGATGCTTCCCAGGTAGGTAAAAGAGGTTGTTTCTTTCAGGTTCCTCCCATTTATGCTGATCGTTGTCTGTTGTTGTTGTTCTTGTCCAGGAATCTTCATTACCTAAGCCTAACCCAGAAATGAAAGCAGGTTAGAAATGAGATCCATGAAAATGGTGCTACTGAATTTTTTTTTTTCCTTCACGTTCCTCAGTGGAACATAGGGCTTCAAGCTAATGGCTCGAAGTTTCTGTAGCAGTGTTTATTTTACAGGATGGGGTTGCTAGCCTCATGCCCAACCTTTCCTCTTTACCAGCATTATTTCTGGCTTAGCGAGGTAAAGGAGTGCGTCGGCCGAGGATCGAACCCCGGACCATGTGCATGGTCGGCAAGCGTCCTAACCGCTATACCACCGACGCACTGCTACTGAAACTTCAAAGCAAAAGCTTGAAGTTCCGCGTTCTATTCAAACCGAAAAGAATGATTTCAAGATTTCATCATGAGGGGTGACATCGGTTAGAGGACTACTGGAAAACCTGGGAGTATTGGACAACTGTCTCGTCAGCCTATTTTGTGACTCTTCACCAATACGCACCTACCAACTGGGTTCGAATCCACGACCTTCTGGTTACAAGGCGAGCTCGTAGTCCATTTAGCCACTGGGACCTGACCCAATGACCTGCTCATAAATTCCAACTTCCGCCAATTCATGATATGGAGCGACCACTAGCGAATGTGTTATCGCTGGCGAGTATCTATCCTCACATCCGACCTGGTGTATCCCACTGGTTACGACTTCCCACTAGAACCCAGGTAACAACCTGCCTGAATAGGGCCATCAGATCAGTTTTCAAGTATTGGTTTTGTATGGATTTGAAAAAGAATGAGATAAAATTGCTAAAGAAAGGTAATCAGGAGACACAGTTATTACACACACCTGAAGAATTTTAAAAGCTCATTTCACGCTGAAAGCGGAAGCTGAAGATGTCTGGAAAGACAATGAAAACTTTGTAAAAACGATGCTACAAATCGACTCCATCATCTCTAAGTAAGTATATCCTTCTTTGTTCCGATAACAGAAAAATAAAATAAGACAGTCTCATATCTTAAAGAAGGGTAGAGTATGGTAAGATAAGATGGGGGTAGAATAGAGTTTGAGCACTATGGTAGAGTATCAATTTATTTAATCTGGAATTGTTTTATGTCACCATTAATTTGTCGTATGAATTCTTTTTTTTAAACAAGAAAGTTTTTGTTAAAAAAGGTCTTTGAGCTGCTCTCTTAAGTTTCACTTGATGTATTGCGACAAACACTCAAACATATCAGAACAAGATTATCTTAGATAAGTGAAAACGAAATGAATATATCACACTCTTAACTGTCTTCGCACATACTGGGGGGCTTAGATTCTAGTACAGTTTAAAAATATACTAAATCGAGGATGAAAAACTCTTGAATTTGTTGAAATCTACCGTCGATATTTTAATCTCTGATAAACAAATGAAGTTAACCAGTTAAATAGATAGTCATGTTTGATATTAGGTAGTTGGCGACAATCAGCAGGAAGCTATGGACGTACATTTCATGCTTCTTAGCACTTTTCATCAAGGGGTGTCTAAAACCTTGATAGAAATGATGTTTCTTTTGAGGTTTGAACTCATGTTTAACCCAGGGCTACAGTAGGGATCATGACTGGGTCTCGTCAAGGCTCCAAATAATACACTCCATTATGGACATGATGATATGGATATGATGGATATGATATGATAATGAGTGGCAATAATTTGTGCTCGAAACGAGGTCATCAGTTAATATTACTGTGTAACACTGTATGATTTATCAAAATAAAATCTTATCCATCATGAAGTTACACTCTACCACAGTGCCCAAGTTTTATACTTATATCAAGATTTTATTTCGATAAGTCAAACAGTGTTATACAGTAATATTAACTGATGACCACGTTTCGAGCACAAACCATTGCCACCCATAATCATATCAAGTTACTCACACAACTTTTTCCCTTCATTTATATACATGTGTGGAATCGGTTAGATATTTGAATAAAAATCAATATGGGATAACGTACATTCAGAAATAATAATATGAGTGTTAGTGATCAATTACAATCAGATGGTAAATAAGACGAGTGTTTTTTATAGTCATAATAAGTAACTTGTTAGAATGTTGTGATTTCCTTGAATTGAAATAGAATTTTAAGATTATTTATTACCCTCTTCTGATTTGACTGGCGGTAATAATGTCTTCAATATTTCTGGTATTTGCATTGAGACATTTCTGCTGCATGTGTTGTGTTGGGTGTATACTCAATGAACCAGGATTCAGTAATCAATCTCTATCTCCACCTACATTGGTTACTTCGTAGAATCTTAACCCTCTCCCACCCTCTTGTGTGGTTGCGTGTTAATACATGTAGTGCAATTGCTGAGCTTTTTTCTAAATTACTCATCTTCGCGGGGCCAACCATTCTTACCTTAGCCAAATTCTTATGTTCCAACAATCTGACTACCCCGCCCGATCTACTAGTTTGACCTATATAGTTGACCTAACTCACAGTCATTGCAGGGTATTTTGTAAATTATATTATTTTGTTTAATCGGTTCCACCGGGTCTTTTAGCCTACATGTTTCCTTTGTCCACCAAAATGCCTGAATAGATTCATTTTAGATTGGACCGTATGACAGGACAGTCGATTCAGTTCCATCATTTTACTAAGTTTCATTCTACAGAACACTAAAGTGGATATTTTAAGCTACTACACCGACGACTGATCTAACAGACATCACTAACAGACATATATCCAAATATCTTATTTTCATTCTTTGCCTTCCGAATCAAATATAGGGGCCTCAAGAATCTGAAAGTTCAACATCGGTAGGGTCGCTAGCCTTACACACCCAACCTTCCCTTGTTTTCTGAGCTTCCTATCAGCTAGGCGAGATTTAAGACTGTGAGTCGGTTGCGAATCAAAACTGAACCGCTTTATATTGACTAGTGAGCACTCCTACCGTTCAACCACTTGATGTACATTCAAATAATTACAAGATGAGAAAAAATGAAATATATATGCATAGTTTTTTTTTAGGAATTTTTACTCAAAAAGATAAGAAACTGACAGATTGCAATTTTTATCGTAAATGGAGATGGTGAAAAAAAATATATATAAAATCCTGGAGATTTAACGGTCTTGTTTTGCAAATATATGAATATGTTTGGAGAGATCACCCTAGCAACGTATACTATCCTGGACACTTAACCAACTATCGGATATATTGCCGAAAGGAGTTCCATTCATCCCCCAAACGGACTAGGAGTTAGTTATCCCGACCGAAAGCTGCTACCTTGACGTGGTGGTCGGGCTTGAACACTGCAATGACCCAACAAGCTATACTGGCTGGAACTTATGTTCCTGCAGGTCCTACCATGCCAGAAAGGTTGTTTGGATAGCAGTTAGACTAAAAGCAGTTACCCAATCCAATCCTATGATTTCAAATAAATCACAAAATATCATGCCGGATCGGTCGGGGCCCGGATTAACAACGACCGCGCTTCCTGCTGCCGTGTCACAGGGCAGAAGTGATAAATATGCTACTGAGACACACCAAATGAAAAACAACAAACAAAAACAGGCCGTGTGTGACCGGCCTCGAGCAGTTGTCCCCTGGGCTCTGCGGTCACGCAACCGACTTCCACGGTGTGGGCAGCCGGGAAGTAACAATTGCCCTCACAATCCGAAGTGCACGCGAAACCTCTCTAATCCTCACTCATCTTTGTCTCCATCTTCATCTCTATTATCTTGCCTTCCTTCTACTAATGCAACTCCTCTACATGAAGATGTAGCAACATGAATTATTTCAAAAGCAAACATCCTTTAAAAATGTTCAAAATGAATTAGTCATAGATTAGTAGAGAGATTGAAAAATAAATAACAGGCGTTGAAGTCCAGTTAACTTGAATAGATATTCACTTTTGAAGTGCTCTGGCAGTTTCGATCTGCATACACCACTGTCAGGATTGTGGGTTGGTCAACCTGTCAAACAAACAGTGTGCTAAACAAGAATGAAACCTAATGTTCCGTGATTCTTAGTTTTTAATGATTTTCTAACTGAGAAAAGAATCTAATAAATTGTACAATTTATAAAAAAAAGAAACTAATACGCTTTAAAACTCAATTTATAGATGACTTACCTGAAACAATAGGATGATAAGCAGGTAATCTGTCAGAAGTAGCACTGCCATTAGTTGTACTCTTCAATGAAGAATCCTTTTGTAGAAAATGACAGAAAGAGATAAAATTATGATTAAATATAGTTTATAATATACAAATGTCATACAAAAACTGCTACAGTATTATTCTGCAACTATTATGGATATATAGAGTAGAACTGTAGAACCCAATGAAGAGGTTATCGAAAAGAAAAATTCCTTTGGTTGATGGTGACTATCAGTGGAATTGAGAATGCACATTTCTTCTGAGACTTTTCAACTGAATGCACTACATTCTCAGTGAATGATGGTGCTCCCGTTGAGATATGAAGCCTGCACTCATCGTTTCAAACACCACATCATTAACCACTAGACCATGAGAGTCACCTATTACGCAAAGGGTATTAGTTATTATTCACTTCTAGGCGAATTTGTATTTCCAGTTGATACTGATAACTGATAACGAGTCCAAGTCCCAGTGAAAACACCAACACTCACTATGAATGCAGATACACACAACTGACGAGTCACAAATGGGACGAAATCTGCAACCTGGATTCCACATTGCTAGTTACCATCAACTAGAACAAAATCACATTTATCTTAAGACATCATCAAAGCGTTCGTACAAGGAGCTAACATATGTCAACAAAGACCGAGCATTTCGGTCCGACATAATCAGTCAACGGAAAATGCAAATTAACCTAAAAACAGATAAGAATATTTAAGTATTGGTTTGCAGGGATCCATGAGCCATTGGATCGGGTTCCAGTGGCTTAATGGTCTACGAGCTCGCTAGCCTTGTAACCAGAAGTTCCTGGGTTCGGACCCTAGCGGTAGGTGCGTACTGTTGAAGATTCACAAACTAGGCTGAGGAAATAAACAGCTGTCTGACAATACTCCCAGTTGGTTTTCTAATGGTTATCTAACCGATGTCAGCTCATGATGAAATTCTCGAACCAAATACGAATATTCCTTGTTCACTATAGTCTCAGTCTTTCACAATTTATAACGGACATTTTTAAGCATTAGTTATTCGGAACAAACTTTGACACAATAGACAATGAGTAAAACTATTATTGTATGACGGCTAGTGATGTTATCCAGTTTTTCAGAGAGAATTAGATGGAGAGACTTGAACCCGGGACAGATTAACCAAAAGTCGAGTACTTAAGCCAGAGAGCCAAATTTCTAATAATAATTAATGATCATATAGACGAAATATGTACTTGATACAAGTCCATTTCATTAATAATCCAGTAAAATACCCAATAGTATAGTGAACAATAAAGCAACAGAGGAGATTGTCAAGGAATATGAACATTGAACGTTGGTTCATTTACCTTGGTCACCATTGGCGGGCAACTAGAAGGCGCAAATGGTTCGATTGTGTGCAAGTATGAAGACGAGAAGAGAATACGAATAAAAGTACCTTCGGTGGCGCAGTGGTTAGGACTCTCGTCGACCATGCACATGGTCCGGGGTTCGATCCCCTGCCGACGCACACCCGATATCTATGGTAGGCCTGCAAAATTTGGGCTACCGATATCGATGCTGAAAATTCCATACTTGTACTGAAAATGCGGTGTGGCATCAAGCTGTAATCAAAAATATTAAAAAAATTCTAATTTTGTACAAAACATTTGTTTATAGACTTGTATCCATCTTTACTTTAATTGCCAAACAATATAACTTTCTACCGATTACTGGTGTTTTGGAGTTAAAGTCGAGAAGATACACAGTCATTTTCGGTTCAAAGCGTCTTCGTTACAATAGGTACTTAGGGCTCAGTGGCTTGACAGAGATTGTATACAAGAAGAAACCCTAATAAGTTCTAACATTCTGAATATGGAGTGAAGCACAGCAGGGAATCACAAATGAATTCAAAGGAAAAGTGAGTTCCTTTAAGGTTAAAGATACACCTTGCTGACAACTGCCAACACGCACGAAACCTAGGTCCAAGGCTTCCTGCCGATTACTTACTTTACTTTGCTTCGGCTATCTCCTACGGGAGGATGAGCCGGCTTCATGAACATCTCGAATCATCGCTGCCTATGGTGAGAGTCGTTTGTAAGAGAGTTCATGAGGTTTCATGGGAATTTAGTACGAGTGATGTCCCCAGAATCGCTCGGCCTTTTGTTTGAGAGTGCAGCTCTAGCCTTTACACAACCAAGTGTGACCTACAAGGCAGTAGGAGTGGAGTAGGGAGTCCACTATCCATTGGCAGCCGGTGACCGGAGTTCGGTTCATACGCCTTTTTGAATGGGGCCAGACATCCAGGACATCCAACAAGCCCTTTATCCACACGTCTGCCGGTGAGCTCCAGTGAGCTTCATACGCCAGTCGTTGGAGGTTTGGAATCAGGGTTTAGCCATCTCCCCTGGACTGTCATCCAATGGACAGTCAACCCGGTGAAGAGCGCCGGGCAACCGCTTTCGCCCTCTCACTTTGGTGAAAAACACCTCCGCCACGTGAAGGCAGTGAGTAGGACTTCCTCAGGAGAGGCTATGTAAGACGCCCGGTCATATGAGAGCATTTCAAGAGGTGTGCGGAGGGGTGGCCAACCCGCAGCGCAAGGCACCCACCCCCGACCATCCTGAGGCTTTGGAGGCTTCCTGCCGATTGCGTCCAAACATCGATTATAACTATTCTAACTTTTATTTAACAAGTGAAGATGTGACTCGTTGACTTAAACACACTTGACTCTTAGCTAGTGCGTTCCAACTGGGAATCCTGCTACACCAATTACAGCCTAGTGCAACTGCTTAGTATCACCAGCCCTCATAATCTGATACATGGGAAATTTTCTCTGAGTAACCAAATTTTAACAGCTGGAGGAAGAAAACAAAGTAAGCTGTCGTTTCCTTTTTTGTATTTAGTGATGTTACAGCATTATTTAAAACGATAAACCCAGTGTACAAGAAGCCCACTCTCCCGCCAAAAACGATCAGTTCATCACTTCAAAACAGTTAGGGAAATATCCTCTTTTTTTCAACTCCAAACACATACATATATTCTTCATTAGAAAGTCTAACGTTGAATGTGAACTTGTATAGAAGACATCTGTTGAAAATTAATTGTATAATTATAATTATTACTCTTAGAAGACCAATCAGCTGACTAGCACACAAATCAGCTGATTATTTATTACATACATTGATAAAGCCAAAATGTAATAAAAACCTAGACAAAGTCTCAGGAAAGAAAACTCGTATATGTAGTCACTTTTTTGTCCTAATAACTGTATCATTTTTCAACAGCTGTAACAAAAGAAATGTGTACATCTCAGTGAAACTAAATATGGATTTGTTAAAGAGTGAGAAAAGTACAAAGATAGTTTTATTGTAAAATACACTGTGTATTCGGATGTTTAGACTTCTGCAAAAAAGGATAGTAAACCGCTGAAGATGTAAGAAAATTTCAATCACTATGAGATTTATCTCAGCTGTCTTCGCTTCAGACTGAAGATTGCATAGACAACTAGAAAGGACTAGTAACAAGGTACTTCTCTGGGAACGAACCAATTAGCAATATCTATTGCCCGACAAACAGGGCAAGGAAAATAGAGATGGGTCAGACACACACTGAAGAGACCGTTGTGTGATACCACGTTCCAGAACCCCCCTCCCTTGTAACTTGAATACAGAACAGGGAAGTGAGGGAGGTCGTGTGAAGAAGAGATCATGAGGTCAGCTAAACGACTGCATTAAGCAGGATAAAATGAAGGTGTGCTGTTGAAGCCCCATGTTCCACTCGGAACCCAAGTGAATAATAGCAGCAATAATCACTTGAGATTATTTGAATGTCGATAAGTTCAATAAGGCATCAAAATAGACCAAAAACAGTCACATTGGAGAGTGTGAAGATATTTACTCATCAAAGGCACTGGATGGAAGGAGACTTATAACACGGAACGCCACAACTTGGAGATCGCAACAGACTGAATTCCATTCTATGGGTTGAATGGTAACATGTCTGACGAGTTGATTTAAGTGATGTGATTTCGTAAAAAGAGGATTCTGAGTTTGTACTACTTGACAGTTCTGAACTGAAGCGAAACTAGTGCCTATTGATTCTAAGTTTTCAAAAGATGGAACTACAGTTTCTACCATTATATTATGATTCCTTTAGGTTCCTGGTGGAGCATAGAGCTTCAAAAACACATCTCTATTTTGTCCTATTGTCCGTAGTTCCTCTCAGGCTGCTCCACGATTTCGTATTAGCCCTCATCTCCTCGTTACACGCTCTCCTCCATGTTACAATCCAATCCATGACCAACTAGTTGTTTCCCATTCAGGTTACACGAGCTCATGGTGTCAGTCAACAGTCTACTCAATATCTTTAAGATCCATCTCCTTTATTTCTCCATAGTAGTAGTTTGGCGATAGATTGTTGGTTGCAAGAGTTATTTGGTGAATGTGCATACCCAACGGCCATCTGATTTTTGGTATGGAACGAAGGCAGATCGAAGTCTGCAACTTGTTGGAAATGCTTTAGGTGACACGCCACCCACCAGGTATCGGAATCATATAGAAGAATTGGCCTGAAAATCCGAAAATTGTTCATCATTCTAAATGTAGTACTATGAAGTGTGCTACTGATAGGACTTGTCAGTAGTATATAAAGGGAGTATGTCGGTGGTTCAGCAGTAGAACACTTGCCAACCACCAACGTGATCCGGAGATCGATTCTCGGCCGACGCACTCCTAAACCTCGCTAAGCAGATAGTAGAGCAAGTAAAGAGAGAATGTTGCGAATGAGGCTAGGAATCTCACCCAGTAAAAATAAAAGTCACTGCTACAGAAACTTTAAAGCTCGAGCCTGAAGCCCTATATTCCACTCGGAACGTAGAGGTATAAAGTAAAATAAAATAAAGAGACGTTTATCGGTATAAAAACATCAAATAGCAAGTAGATAGATTTGGTGTCATAGAAAGCAAATAATACAGCATTGTGGAGATACATGAGAAACGTGAAAGGAACACAAAGAAACACAATATGATGGAAGGCAAGAAATAGAACAATAGGAAGATGTGTGCGAGTGTTGCGTTGAAGATGA